GCAAGACGAATCTATTAAACCTAATTAGTCCATGATTTGACAATGTTGTGGTACAGTAAACATATGGTAGTGATGGATTAATTAGACTTAATACATTTATCTCGCAAATTAGTTCCATCTGTGCAATTAGTTTTATAATTAACTCATGTTTAGTCCTCCTAATTAATATCTGAACCTTCGATATGACAAGATTTAAAACTTTGTAGTTAAAAGTTTTTTATTTGAGTTCATTTAGTAGCAAAAATATCTAATATAAGATTAAATAGAGACATGAATAAATATGTGGTGCAATGGTAGAGAATGGTAGTATTGAGTGGCATGTCTTGGGTTTGATCTCCAAAGCCATAGATTTTTTGTTTTTTGAGGGTAAAAAACGATCGCCTCCATTAAAATTAGTGCAGTAGTGTTTTCAGTATAATCTGATAGCCGCTTGCTGAGTCTTTCCTTTAGAGGTTGGAATTTAATTTGTTTCTCTTCAGACCCGGATGGGGTAGGCAGACCCAAATACTTGGCTTCAAAAGCTGACAATTGCACATACCCAAGATTTGTTTCACTTGCTCCTAGTCTGCTACTTGCCGCTTAGCATTGAACATATTGGAGCACTTGCTCTGATTTATTAACTACCCAATGCAGTGGCTATAGGTGTTGATCATCTCCTTGACGTGAGTCGTTTGGTTTGGAGCGGCCTTGAAAAATATGAGCTTATCGACTGCAAATAAAAGATGTGAGATGCCTGGTTCACCTCTGCAGATAGAAAGCTCAGCAGCTAGTTTCCCCTTGCCGTACCTTCCGGGTAACCAACAGAGATGGACCACCCAATTCCAATTGAGTGAGCGCTCACTCGTTGGGAAACGAGTGAACACCTCCGACCGCGCCACACGTCCGACAACACACTCATTGTGTTGCTTTCCGCAACGAGTCTGCAGTCTATTAGGTTTTTGTTTTATATGATTTTTTAGTATTCTTTTTATTTTTAATATGTTTTATTTTTCTTTTATTTATTTTTTCTTTTTAATTTTTTTGGCAACGTTAGCAAGTTGTATTGAATAACTTATATATACTAGTTGTGTTTGATAATTTTTTATACATAATTTGTGTTTTATAACTTTTGTGTTTCAAAGTTTTGGTATAAATTATAAGTTAATTCGTTCCTTTGCGTTTAGTAACTTTTATAAATAAGTTATATGTTATATATTATATGGTATAAATTATATGCTATAAGTTATTTGTTTCTCTGCGTTTAATAACTTTTGTAAATAAGTTATAAGTTATATGCTATAAGTTATATGTTATAAGTACTACACATAAATTTTTAAATTTCTACTAGAATTTTTTTCGAAACATATGAAAGTAGGATCTAGTTTTGTTCGCCTCGTCGCATAGAACACACCGGTACAGACGGAATTGAAAACGGATACACCATTCAGAAGTTATAGTATTTTAAAATAAATGTCTTTTTTTTTCCTTAGTGCAACGTCACCGTAGAGAAAGGAAGTGGGGAGAAGGATGGGCGGCATGCATGGCTCAGCGCCACAGCGCTTTCCCGAAAAGGAAACTGGCTGGACATGTCCGAGATCGTTCGCTCGATTGAAATTGGATGAGTGATCGCTGATTAGTGCGGTTGAACAGACCATCGGTTACAAAAGGAAGATACAGGATCACCTTGGCGAAGATCATCAGCGGAGTGGACCAACTTGGAACATTGCATTACCAAATTTCCTCTTCCCTGTAAGGCTCATGAAGAGAAGAGTTTCATATATATGTGATTTTGGGAGTAAATACTTGGATCCCACCAACTCCTGCCTTTGTTTAATTTCAACCCCCAACTACAAAACCGTCTAATAACTTTCACACCTCAAGTCCTCAACTATCTAAACAGTCTAAACTTTGACCTCAAAGGCATCTCAAAACCGTTCCATCTCGGGGGTCAAAATCGAACGGTTTTGATAGTTGAGATGCTAAAGTTAGACAAAAATAGACTTAAATAAAGTAGTTTAGTTTTTTAGTTATTTATGAAAAAATTATATATTTAAATTTACTTATTGGTAAATATTTATATTTATTAAAATATTATCTACACTTTTTTGTATTTTTATCATAAAAATAAGTTTCATAATTATCATAAATTAAACTTTGGTACAAATTTTTTCTAAAAATATAATCTATCAAATCTACAACTTTGATTTGGGTTATTTCAAAATATAAAAACTTCAAACAGAATTTTGAGACCGCAAATAATTTCAAATGAAACAGTCATCAACCATAAAGTTGTAGATCTGATAGCAGAGATCTACAAGTTTAGTTTCGGTCATTTATCCATCCAAATTCGTTCGAACAATTCACAAATATTTAAATTTTAAAATACGAGAACTTTAAACAGAATTTTGGGACCGTAAATAATTTTAAATGACGATGTTGCAAGTAGATATGACACCGTGCTGGTAGCTCAATGTTGTCGCCAAGCTGTTTATTCGTAATCACAACCGAGTGAATTCTTCAGTGGTTGTTTGGCTCGGTAATCACCAATTACTGGCCATCTTTGTAATGTTATAAACTTTACTTCTGTTTAATGAAAAACATGCCTTGGCATGGTTGCGAAAAAAGATGTTGTAAATAAATGACGTACTAACTCATCCGGCACAAATAGTATCATCCCTTGCAAATAGATGTCCAACCACCTCTCCGGCTCATCTCCCTCCATCAACCTCAGGATCATGTGACGATATTGAAGCTTAGGGTGGGCAGATCTCATACAGGCCGGGCTCCCGTATCACCCCCGACAACAGTACCGGAACAAGGTCAAGAGTATCTCCGGTGGCCCAGCACAACCGATCTTCAAAGATCTCAACTTCTCCTAGAGGCTAGAGATTTGATGTGATGAACAGATCAGAGAAAGAGAATGAGAAACGCCTCCGCATGAGGTAGATCGAGCTAGGCAGGCTTGCCGTAGAGTTAAATTAGGAGACCGCTAGCTGCCACGGGTGCTAGCTAACAGGAGAATAGCACTGGGAATCAGGGTAAATAAACGTAGACGGCAGCGCAGGATCGGGAGAAGACGGCCCGACGATAGTGGTCACCACGAAGTCGTTTTCATTCGGGAGACCGTTTCAGATGTATTATCATATCATGATGCGTAGAACTTGGTGTATTCATGCTATTTTTCATTTCTACAAGCGTTCTTGGCTTCTTCTTCTTCTTCTTCTTCTTCTTCTTCTTCTTCTTCTTCTTCTTCTTCTTCTTCTTCTTCTTCTTCTTCTTCTTTTCAGTTGTACAATTATGATACATTCTTATTCTGTATCACGCCACATGTAACAGTTGTTACGTTAATTGCTCATCTTTTCTCGTCAAATTAGGTTTTGGAGGTGAACTGGTTCATGCATGCAGCTTGATACAGGTTTCGGGTTGTCCATTCCCATTCACGTGTGAGGTCCGATACAGGCTCCACGTGAAAGTTTGCCTTGCCGATTGATTCTAGCTCTAGAGATGGTAATGGTCCCCAATTCCTGATTTCGCAAGAGGGTTCTCTTATTATATTAGGTAACGCAGATGGGCCAATTTAAAGCATGTTTGTGACTGCTCTACTCTAGTTTTTTCCAGTTTTGCTCCATCAACCCTAGATGAAAGGTGAGCAATTAACTTATATACTCAAACAATTCATCACATTATCGACTTTACATGTACCATGATATAGAACAAGAATGCATCTTAATTATACAACCGTAGAAAAATTTGAACGACGAAATACACTAGCAGAAATGTAAAATAACATGGAACACACTAGGTTCTCAAATTTCTTATGGCGTCTTCTTGTACTTCATTCCCCTTTTGGGAAATCCCGGCATGTCCACTGATTTACAAGCACGCGCGCAGTTTTTGTTTGATGACAGGCAGGTGGCCCTTCTGCTGCAAGCACACCACAGTCTCGTACAGGCTCTTCCTCAGCGGAGTGAAGTCCAAGCCCAGGTCCCTGAGCCTCTGGTTGGAGAACCTGTACGGCTTCACCATTGGCTTGTCGTCGTCTTCGCACCTGCATCACATAAAGACGAGCACGCGAGGTTTTCAGAGCTGATCGCTCGGCGGTGACGACGGCAGAGGAGGGGCTCTGTGCTTACTTGGTTGTGACGGGGTACTGCGGGAAGAGCTCCCTGAGCATGGCGACGAGCTGGGCGCGGTGCAGCACGGTGCCGATGCAGAGGTACCGGCCGCGCGCGGCGGGGCGCTCGTAGGCGAGGACGTGCGCGAGCGCGACGTCGCGGACGTCGACGTAGGCGGCGACGGCGTTGGGGATGGACCTCTTGGTGCCCATGGCGTAGCGCAAGACATGGTGGGCGCTGACGTTGAGCGTCTGCTGCAGCACGGGGCCCACGGTAATGCACGGCAGCACCACGGCCAGATGCAGCCCCCGGGCCGCCGCCTCCTTCGTCGCCGTGATCTCCGCCATCATTTTGGCGCAGCAGTACAGGTTCTCCGTTCGCTTGCAGAAGTCGTAATCACTCCAGCATGTCTCGTCGAGGACGGCGTCGGGGCACCGGTTGGGGTCCATGTGGACGGCGCCGTAGGAGGAGGTGAAGACGACGCGGCGCGCGCCCTCGTCCGCTGCGGCGCTGATGACGTTCCTGGTGCCCTCCACCGCCACCGGCACGAGCTCCTGCCGGCGGGTCAAGGAAGCGTGAGCAGAGTACGTGGCGCATTGCTGTACTGTTTAAAAAGAAAGAGCAAGCACTGACGACGACTGACTGGGTCGTTCGAGACCGGGGAGGCGACGTGGAAGACGCCGTGGCAGCCGGCGAAGGCGTCGCGGAGGGAGTCGCGGTCGAGGACGTCGGCGCGGCACAGGGTGAGGCGCTCCTTGGCGCCCTCCAGAGCCAGCAGGTGTGCGTTCTTGCTGTCCGCTGCACGTCAGCACGTGCACGCAAAGCAGAGGTGAGTACAGCAAGCTCTCTGAACTTGCAGAAGGGAATTGCAGTGCAGGAGATGGTGTGATGTAGTCAGTCACTCACCAGGGTCCCTCGCAGTTCCCCTGACACGGTAGCCGCGCTGGAGCAGCTCCTTCACCACCCACGAGCCGATGAAACCGCCGGCGCCGGTCACGCACACCAGCTGCTGCTCACAGCAGCTGGACGACATGGTGATGCTGCCCAAGTGCCGATGATTAAGCTGCAGGGCATTTGGAACGGGGTGACTCTCAGTGTGTGAGCCTCGGTCCTCCATCTCTCTAGCTCTCTGTGAATCTTCGACAGCTCTCGCCTTGTGTTGTGCTATAGGGTGGCTGCCCGTATTTATACCGCAAGGCGCTCCTTGAGATGTCTGGTGAACTATGTTCACCCCTCAAGTGTTCAACAACACACTTACAGTCGACTTGTCCTAAGTCAATCAGATTGCGGTTGATTATTTTCCTCACCCAGATCCAACTGCGTACGCGGCTACACCTATTACAAAGCCTTCCACTCGAAAGCACATTACTCGGTGGTCATACTGGTTGCCAATAAGGGCGCGCATATTCAGGTCGGACCAACATAGAACAGATGAAACCTCATCGGTTCAACTTCACGCTACTCGGCATGGGATGCCGGCCCTCCGACTTGGCTCTCAGATTTCAGCCGACAAGCTACAAGCAAGCTGTCCAAGCTATCCATGAGTTGTCCGAGTCACACGCAAGCGGGGCGAGCTGTAAATCACCAAACACAAAGCAAGACGCAAAGCCTACAGCAACATGCATGCAAGAAGACGGCAAGCTTGAAGCTGTTGGGAGATTTAAATCATACGTACGTACACGCTCTCACGACAGGCATACACGTACATGCTCATCCATCTACTTGATACCACGCCACTAAGCTCGGGGCTCGGCCATTGTCACAGGTTACTCGGCTTCACTCCAACTACGTTCGGGAGCTCAGATTCGAGGATGGAAGGCCAAATTTACAAGCATTCAACTACTTGACGACAAGTGATCATTGATCATTATTTTCGGGGGTTACTCGGCTGCACCCTTAGGATATCTACAAGATCCTATAGTCGACTCCAAGTAGTCGGCTTTAGGCTCGGGGGCTGCGGGATACATATCCTTAGAGGATGCATTTAAATTTCTTTGACAAGAAATTGCAGACAAGACCCTCCAACTCTTTGTTCCAAACAACAAGAGGCTCGAGGGCTACACTCAGTGAGTGCACTTTTTCGGAAAGTGCACACCATTCCAAGATTTCAAGAAGCACTACATGGTTTCACTCAAGAAAGCACTCGGACAACGTTTGTTTCTACTTGGCAAGACCTGGAGAAACAAGAAGGCTCCCAAAGTTCAACCATACAGTGCTCGGGGACTTGTGGGACATAGTCCCCGGGTACCCCGCGAGGAAGAGAGAAGATCTAGTCCGACTAGGATTTTCCACATGTAATCCTAGTAACATTGCTATAATGTAATCCTACTAGGACTCCTCTATTGTAACCGACTAGAAGACTTGCCTCCTGGGCTATATAAAGGAGGGCAGGGCTTCCTAGATCGGAAGAGGCCATGACACACAATCATACCAATTAATCCAACGCAACAGGCTACACGCCGATTGGACGTAAATGCTATTACTCGATCACGAGGGCCCGAACCAGTATAAATCGTTCATCTCTTTCCGTTCACCGTCAGGTTCCGCATACATCGAAGCCCACCAATTATCGTCCCGAGTAACCCCGTGACGAGTTACCGGTCATCAAACACTGTCACTTATGATTGACCACAGTACAACACAATATTCCACATTCTTGACCTAAGAAATTACTCCCTCCATCCCAATAAAAGTGTCATTGTAGGACTCAACGCGTGTACCAAGACCAGAGGTAAAAGACCATAATACCCTAGCACAATGCTCTTCTCTCTCTTGCGCCCTCCATTCTCGATCCAAATTCAACTCCGGTATGGCCGTGCCTCCTCCTTACCCGGTGGATTTACTCTCTACGCCGGCCGCTCTCGTCTTCGACGTTAAATTTGCCACCTCCGCTCGGATCGACGTCGAGCCGCATGCTCCCGTCTCCTTTGCCCGCACTGTTCTTTGGAGAAGAGGAGGGGGGGACGGAGGAGGAGAAAATGAGGCGACGGCTTGGGTGGCGCTGCGGATCCCGCGTGGGGCCGCGTGACCTCGCCCGGGGCTGCCTCTGCCTCCACGACGGTTGAGCCGAGGCGGAGCTCATGGGAGGAAGCCGCTAGATCCGCCGACAGTGTAGAAGAAGAGGAGGAGGTCGCCAGATCTTGGCGGAGGAGAAGATGAGGGGGGCGCCTCAGCCACTCTACCTCTGCGCGCACCGTCTTTGCCTTCTCCCCGGGCCCGCAGGCTGGATCTGGCGGTGGCCATGGCGGGCTGGAGCTCGTGATGGCCATGGCGGTGGTTGACGTTGTGCGGAGCCGCGCGCGGGTGCGGGCTACGAACTCCTCCTCGACATCGCCTCTGCCTCCGCATCAGGGCGCGCCGCCGCTCCGCCTCCACGTTGGCCACGCCACCATCTCCGTCTCCGTCTCCTCCTTCGCGCGGTGCCGTGTGTGTGTTTTCTTTTTTGAGAGAGCGAAAGTGAGGAGGTGAACACGGTGAAGGGATAGCCTGCAGCCTACAGAGGACAGCGGTAGCCATGGACCATACCTAAAATGACATATTTTTTGGACACCGTTCGAAGGCTACAACGACACTTGTATCGGGACAGAGGGAGTACTTTTGTGTGAACTTAATTTTTTGCGTATAGCCTGTAGTTACAGTATTCTTTCCTTGATCACGCAGTTCATCGAGACATCTCAAGCATCCATTTACCTATGTTCACATTAGGAAAAAAATATTATACAAAAATTCACACATTTAACTTTGTCTCACTAAAAGACGCTACACAATAATACACTTTAGCGCCAACATGTCGAACACATGCCATGTTACAAAAAAAACGAAAGATTCATGTTGAAAGTTCATTGTCGTATGCATGATACAAAGACATCTTAATCACATGGTACGAAGGTACAATAACTAGTCATGTTCAGTTGAACAAAGACATCTTAATCATGGATGCATGTTACACATGTGAAATACGTGCTACGGCACGGTGGTCAATAAAAAACATATACGTCTGTCACAGCCCAGAGAAAAACCTTACAACTCACATGAGACCTACACTTCTACATATGGTACATTTTAAAAAAAACCCAGCTTTTTTTTGAGAAATTTTTTTCCAGCTAACAAAACAGCAAACTCGTCGAAAGAGAGAGAGAGAGAGAAGAAACCAACATGAAGTGGCCCAAGAATACCTGAAGAAAACACGGGGCCATAAAAAGGTCCAAACTGTAAGAGCCCATCTATGATCCGGTCCACCAATCCAGAATCCAGCCGGAGTCCAGACCCGCCGAGCCACGGCGACGCCGACGACGCGAGCGAGCGAGCAGACCTAAACCTCCGAACTCCTCTCCGCCGCCGCACCCGCAGCAATCATGTCGCACAAAAAATCCCGCGGCCGGGGCGGGGGAGGCGGTGCCGCCGCCTCCGGCGACGGCCATGAGGACCTCGCGCGCCCGCCCCCACTCCAGGCGGTCCTCCTCGCGGACAGCTTCACGCTCAAATTCCGCCCCATCACCCTCGAGCGCCCCAAGGTACTCGACGCACTACCCGCTTCCCAAATCCCACACCAGCACTATCTCGTCACCGGCGCTCGAGCTTCGCGGCTCCTCTGAACGAGCTCTTGCTCCGCCGCTGTCTCTTCGCAGGTGCTGCTGCCGCTGGTGCACATGCCGATGATCGAGTACACGCTCACGTGGCTGGAGTCTGCGGGGGTGGAGGATGCCTTCGTCTTCTGCTGCGCGCACTCGCACCAGGTCAAGGAGTACTTGGAGAAGGCCGGGTGGGCTGGTAAGTCTGGGCCCGGGAGCATGGCCGTCACGGCCGTCGAGTCCCACGACGCGATTAGCGCGGGCGACGCGCTCCGCGTCATCTACGACCGCGGCGTGGTGAGTGCTCAGTCCTGCTTCCCTGTTGCGGATTATGATGGCAGCGTTATTATTGATTTTAGCTTTAGTTTTTTTGTATGCCTATCACATTGGATCTTCTCGTTGAGTTTATTACTGATGATTCCCAACTGATATAGCAAGGTGGTCTGAGACTGAACTCGGTAGTCATATTTTGGGTCGCTTGTTTCAGTTCGTTTATAAGAAAGTGTGAATGGTCTTCCATGTTGGTTGCCTCAGTAGAGGGGGCTCCAGGAGTGCATCAAAACCACCCTATAGCACCAGTGAAAGAGACAATTGTTTGTAGCATTTCTCCTAATCAGCATATATAGTAATACAATTTGCTTCTGAAGCTACTAAATAGAAAATAAACACACCTTTTTTATTTTCGTTTTGGCTTGTTTTGCTAGTTTGTTGACATCCTCTTTGAAAAACTTGACTCCAGTCTAGCTCAACTTATACGAAGCCTAAGCACTAAAATATGTGATAACTTTACAATAATTATGGATTAATATTATGTGGATCCAGTGGGACTCAGGCATTACCATGCTTATATGTTCATGTAACTCCATTTGCAGTTTCAGTTGTTTCATGCATCCATCCTTCAATTGTAGATACACGGAGATTTCGTTCTCATCAGTGGTGATACGGTCAGTAACATGAGCTTGAAGGATGCTCTCCAGGAACATATGGACCGGAAGAAAAAGGACCCACTTGCTGTTATGACTATGGTTATAAAGCATTCAAAACCTTCTATTCTGACACACCAAACTCGTCTGGGTAATGATGAAATTGTTATGGCGATAGATCCTGAGACAAAGGAGTTACTTTATTACGAGGACAGGGCAGATAACTCACACTTGTATATTACAATTGATAAGGATATACTGAACAATAATCCTACTCTCCAGCTGCATAATGACATGGAGGTTTGCTTTCAAACTCTACAGCTCAACAGTTGATATCTTCTTTTTCTTGATCTGTTTCTGCTAATATTGTTGCTTATGTATGTCTTGTTTTATTTTGATCATCTTCATATCTTACCTGGCAGGACTGCTATATTGATATCTGCTCTCCAGAAGTCCTAAGTCTTTTTACAGATAACTTTGATTATCAGCATCTTCGGCGTCATTTCGTGAAGGGCTTACTAGTTGACGATGTAAGACAATTCACTACTGTTTGACCACACTATGAAAAAGAACATATGCTGTTTGCCTGTTCTGCAACAAAGTAACGGCCTTACCAATTCTTTCAGATTATGGGATACAAAATCTATACTCATGAATTACGCTCTGGATATGCTGCAAGGATTGATAATTTCAGGAGTTATGATACCGTGAGCAAAGATGTAATTCAAAGGTGGACATACCCTATGGTGCCTGATGTAATATCAAGTCGTGATTGCTCAGAAAGTAGACTTCATAGGCAGGGAGTATACAAGGCATCAGGTACATGCAGTGTTTAAAATTTTGTACAGTAGGTTTATTTCTAGACACTTTCTATTGACTTATTGTTCCTTGGTTCATGCTTCCTTTAAAGCAAGATATTTGAAAGTCCAGAACAATATTTCTATTTGTTATGTTTTTTATTTTGCATATTTATTTGCATTAACTATTTGCTTGCTTCAAAATGTGTAATAATCTAAATTTTTAGTTTGATATCTGGTCTTACGAAATATGTTATTCTTTTAGACATTTTACTAAGCAATGCATAGAATAGGTCAAATTAGTTTATGTGCCTCCTGCAAACAATTAAAATCTGCTTCTGATACATATGTTTATTGTCCAAATGTCCAACTGTACATGCACTTAGCTTACATAATTATTTCAAAGGAAACTATATTGTTTGGTCTTGTAAACTGAACTATTATAGATGTTTAGCTAGCTTTAGAAAGGATTTTGTATTCTGCTGTTAGACTGTATTTTATATTTCTTGGGTACTCTTTTTTGCCTCCATTTTTGCCTTATGAATCTTCTATTATTCTGGTGATCAATTCCATTATTCTCTGCACATCTTTATTCTGCATGTTTTTTTTAGCAGATGTAACATTGTCACCTTCCGCACAAATTGGTGCAAATTCTGTTGTTGGTAGTGTGACTAGTATTGGAGACCACTGCAAAGTATTAAATTCAGTTATTGGGGAGGGCTGCAAGATTGGGAAAAATGTTTTGATTAACGGCTCATTCATATGGGACAATGTCATAATCGAAGATGGATGCAAAGTTAGTAACTCTTTAGTCTGTGATGGTGTTCATTTAAGAGCTGGTGCTATTGTTGAACCTGGTTGTGTACTGTCATTTAAGGTAAGCTGCTACAGTATTGACATTACCATGCCAGAAGCTTTTCCTCCATTAGAAAAATGCAATAATCTGCCTTTTTTTAATCTTGTATTCTTTCTGTGTTGAGTACATCCTGAACTTGTTTTCTTATTCAGGTTGAAGTTGGAAAGAATGTTGTTGTGCCTGCCCACTCAAAAGTTTCATTACTTCCTCAGCCTTCCAATGAAGATAGTGATGAAGAACTTGAGTATGCTGACACCAACTCAGGAATTACAGATAGTCCACGTTAGTCTGCAGACCCTAAAATTTTATTTGATATTTATGCCGGACTATTCATTTTGTTGTGGACCTGTAACCTACATGTTCTACTTGGTGAACTGGTTTCTTCCTTGCAGCATTTTCCAGTATGAGGAGTAATGGTGATCAATCAACTGTTCCTTTGGAAGAAGATGAGTCGGGAACATCTGAGGTTTCCTTCTTTTCTTATCTGCCTTAGTGATTTAGTTTGGAACATTCATGGAATTATGTTGTCGAATGTGGGGAACTGCCATGATCTTTATAACTGTTCATGATGTCACCAATTAGACTGGTACCTGTGGTGTTGTCGGTTACATATGGACAAGCGTTGATACTGGGATCGTGGAAGAATGGAGACAATCGATTGCCCCGATTCCTAAAGAAAAGCTTGAAGAGCTGCTGCATGCTGTGTCTGATGATGATGGGTCAGAAGATGAATCCAACAATCCGACTCTACCAGATAAAGATGATTCGTCAGACAGTGTGGTTGAGGATGATGATCATATTTCTAAGTTTGAGAAAGAGGTTATTACATATATGTGATTAAGAAATACGTACTCCCATTTCTTGTTGCCCATTTACTGAGTGGTTTTCCCTGTTTAGGTGGAAGAGACGTTCCAGCGAGCTCTGGGTGGCGGCGTTAATCGTGATAATTTGATACTAGAGATTAATGGCCTAAGGTGCAAAATCGTTCCTCTCTTATCAGGCACATGTAAAAACTGGAAAGCACTAAGGACCTGCCTTTGTAGGTGGCGGTGGAAGTTTGGATTGAACTGAGTCCAAAATATTACTTGAACAATCATCCTTGTCCAGGCCTTAAGTATTTTAAATTGACACATGAAATAATCAGTCTCTTAAATACGCTTTCTGCTGTTAGTTAATCTAAATCTCCTTTTTCTTACCAGCAATGTAAGAAGGGGAAAATGGGCTTTATAGCAGAATGTACTTTAGTTATTTAAAACTGAATGTTGGATCAACAATGTATTGCCTGCCTGCAATTTTCTCTACATGTTATTGGAACTTAGGAAGTTTGTTGATTTTATGGCGCATCGATCTCATTGATTTCTTTTCAGATGACTTTACTATGTAATGGTTTGGTAGATGCAGTTTTCTCCATCCAGTTTCATCTTTTGCAAATTGACAATCAATGATAGGCTATATTGTTTGTGCAGGTTTATCAGTTCTGTCATTATAGTAACCAATGTTCGATTGCACTGACTATGGTATACAATGCTTATGTTACAGGTTAGCCTACAGCCTTCAACACGCAGATTGTGCTGGAGCTGTGTTCTATTCTGTCATGAAGAGTGCATTAGTGGCTGCACAATCTACTAATGGTAGGTTTTTATAGATATTAGAAGTATTATGAACCCATGACGACTGTAAAGTTGGGAATTGTGTGAATCTCAGAGATTTGGCTGTTTTTACCTAATAGAATAGGTCTACCTTGCAGAAGATATTATCCTCTTATCCACCTCGAAATGGTCATAGGAAAATGCCTTTATTGTTGAGTATGTACTACCAAGCAGAAACTAATTTCTTTTGGTTCTTTTATTTACTTTGATGGCATTATGATGCTGGTTGTGCTTCGTGTTAACAGCAACAAATCATCACATATGGAAGCTACCTCTGTCTATTATGTTTTGTGCGTATACAAGTATGGAACACCACTCACAAGTTCACAAGTCATCACTTGTTCCTCATAACCTAACCCTAGTATAGTAGCTATGGCCACCCAGGACTCCAATTATGGGTCCATATTTGCATGATCCATGCCAACCTTTGAAATGCTTTCAGAGGCAGTTTCCTTGTCCAGTGCAGCCCTTTTTTTACAAACTTAAGGCTATTTGGTAAGCAGTGTTATGTTATTACTCTATGTGCTGAATCTAAGCTGTGCTCTGTTGGGTGAAGAATACAATCTAAGTATGTTTTCTCGAATATCCAATCTAAGTATGTAGCCTAACATAATCATTGCCAAAATCCATTTGCACACACTGCTTTTAAAACCTTTAGCTAGTTTAAACCATATTGGCTTATTCCTAGTAATCTTTCTTCACAACCTAGATTTATTTTATTTGGTTGATGTACGGTCTTTAGAATACTTGAGCAGATCTGTCCAATGATTTTCCTTGTGGTCTAACACGTGGTCTGCGCTTGAATATTAATGCAGTGGCACATTGAAATTAATGAAAGCAAATAATTCGGTTAGGTTTTTATGTTTTTGTCTAAACCTGTCCAGTTTTCTGTCATTTAAATCCCGTTTCCTTTCTTTTTGATGGCCAATTTGCATAATTTATTTACAAAATGGAGGTAGCTTTTACTTTTTAGTGGAATTTTGTTGTTTCTTATGTTTAATGCTTGCTAATCTGACAATGATTACCCAAAGCTTATTTTTCCCTACGGTCCCCTCCTTTTCAGATACTCTTCTAAAGACAACTGCTGATGCACTTGGCAAGTGGAAGGATCTTTTGCGCAATTACACCAAGACAGTTGATGAGGAGGTATATGATTCAGTATATTACTGACTTAATACCTTGAACCATAAATGGGTTAGATTTGCTGAAATTTCAAACATTATCCCTGCATAGATGCTTCTGCATGGTTGAGTACCAATATTACCTTCTAGCAATGATTCTGGTCATTCTTCGAGTTTATCATAGAATTATGACATGAAAGGCTTCTAGGATTGCTTGGCTCACCTCTCCAGTGGCACCTGTGTAAAAAATTATGCTATCTGGTTCATGTCTTTAATACGACAACAAAGCCTTTTAGTCCCAAGCAAGTTGTGGTAGCCACAAAGTGTAGTTGATAAATGAGGTTTTAGGGAACAACTTTGTAATTAGGTAAAAAAGGTGAAACATCCCCTATTTGATCTGATGATATGTTGATCTCCAGTTCTGCATCATCTTGTTTGGTGGGCATGATGACTCTTGGAAAGGCCTCTCCTGCAATTGTAAAATTTCATGGGCCTGTTTGAAAGAAATTGCTGTCTAATTTAATTTTGTGACTTATTGGAGTGTATTTCTCCTTTGATTCTTGCCATGGCTAAATAAATCATTTCTTGGGTACTGCTATAGATGGAGATACTTTTAAAGTTTGAGGAAATGTGTCAAGAGACCACAAAAGAATTTTCTCTGCTGTTTCCAAAGGTAACGCCTACTTCTCTGCAGAAGGGTTCCACAACATTTTTGTACACCACGAACAAGAAATCGATTTGTTTAGACTGCTGAGCATATGCTGTACTTGAACCTTTGTGACTGCTTTTCCTTAATCTGCTATTGAACACAGATCTTGCCATACCTCTATGATACAGAGGTAGTAAGTGAAGATGCAATTTTGAGATGGGCGGAAGAGAAAGAACATGCTGATGAGTCTGATAAAGTATTTGTTAAACAGTCAGAGGGCTTTATTAAGGTACATGTCCTGCACTAAATGTAGTTTTTTGCCCTGTTTCTGCACATGGTTTCACAGAACCAGTTGAAGCTAACACATTCACTTATAGTTCCTTTGATCTTTTCTCTTGTTGCACAGTTTCAGTTCTAGGAAGAGTTTTCCTATAGCCATAGAATTGTTGCACCTGACCACGTGAATGCTACTGGTTTAAATTTTGCTAACTTGTGTTTATGGAATCATCTGACTTGGTGGCATTAGTATCTTCTCTGCTGAATCTGTCTCATCCATGGGGTAAACATTTGCGTGTGACTGATTTAGTTTTAGCTCACTTGTGTTCATGGAACCATCTGACTTGGTTTTAGTGGCATATATACATATTTTTGTCTGCTGTGCTTGTGTCTTCCATGTGGGTATGCATTACTGAAATCCAAACATGATGATATCTTGTCATGATTGCCTTCATTCAATTGATTTTCTGCTACTTGTTACCTTACTCAGTGGCTCAAGGAAGCTGAAGAGGAGGATGACGAAGAGGAGGAATAACCCTGGAGATGTCACTCTAATTCTTTCATGCATTGCGAGTTCAGAATCCGATTTGAGTGGTCTCCCGGTGAGTTTGCGACCAGCAAGTTTTGTAACCTGTAATTGTTTGTACATCAAGTCATCAACACAATACAATTTTGTCCCTAACCGCAACCGGTGGAGAGTACCAAGGAGCAATCTGGCGATGAGGCGTGAATGAATCAAAATGATCCCATTGTAGATGACATACTATAAGTGTACCATCTTTGCTTGGTTGACGCTTGGGCGAAGTTTTCGCCACATTTGTTTAACTGCCCATCATCTGTTTCTTTGCACCCAGCCCAGCACTTGCACAAATCTTTAATAAAAGCTTGTTTAGATATGGCCCCCTTTTCTTTTTTTTTTTCCTGCTGAGAAATGTAGTGGGGAAGAAAGCAATGGAGGCTTCTTCCCCGAAAGGCCCCAGTGGATCATGTGGGTTGCGTAGATCCGGCACTAATCTTACCTCAAAAGGGGCACGGTTTGCTTAAAGTACGCTCTTTTGTCCCCAAAACCCTTGATGTATTTTTTTGCCCTAGACTAGATCCCTGATAGCCTTGCCTGCTTTTTGAAACAACCCAACAATGGGCAGCAAAATCAATGGCTGATGTGGAAAGAGTAAAAAACCAGAAGGGCCCTGGGGGAACTAAAGTGGAAAAGCCGGCAGGTGTGAGCAGTGGAAGGTTGCATGCACACTTTCACTGCTGGACTAAGCAATCTCGCTCTGCCTTCGCCCATCTTCTGCTGCATGTGCTGTTTTGAATTTATAAATTGTTTATCCTGCATAGGGTATGCATTGTTTAATGTTTCGAAATGGTTTTACTTTGACTATGAGAAAGCATGTTTTTATCAACAGACTACCTAATATTGTTTGACCTTTTCGTAATCTGCTGGTCATAAAGAGTTACCGCGGAATCACACTTGGCAATAAGATATAAGATGCAGATACCGCTGGTTGGTTTCTGGGCTGATAAGCACGACTGGCGCTGGTTTGTTGTGAGAGGAAAACGCTATTGGCTGGTTGATAAGTCCTGACTAAAATCAACGAGCGAACAGGGGCTGAACAGGAATCACGTACATTTTGGACTTGGGAGCACGATATATTCTGTGCGGATAAGAGGAATCCATCTTTAGTTCTAGTTCTGACCGGACAACCACGCTGCTCCATAGAGATCATATCGTCATATTGGGAAAGACTGATCGCATTTCGATACCAAAAAACAAAAAAAAAATGCATTTCGTCTGCCGTTTCGTTTGCACCGTCCTTTTTTGCAGTCAGACGACAATTTGTGTTACACGTAAGGTCTTATTTGGATGCGCATGTATTCATCTCAATCCATGTGGGTTGAAGTGGAATTGAACTAAATTCCATTCTATTCCAATACATGTGAATTGAGGTGGATACGCATGCATCTAAACAAGGCCTAAATAAAGAGGAGTTGCCATTTTTTTTCGACTATACTAGAATAGAATTGCTGCTCTGAAATATCCACGTATATGTGCTGAGGTGTGAGGTCTGAAGCCAATCATGGCCCGTGGGAACTTTTTTTTCTTATCTTGAACTGGAGGAGTAGGATCTAGCAAATACGTGTTTGGTTGAGGGGTCAGAAAAAAGTGCCTTTCTTGGAAGTTGTATAATAAACGGAGAAACAATACGGTCGAAATAAGCTGATCTAATTTCTACGGTTTAGTGGTTATAAATGAGACGAGAGTAGTTGTGGAGAGAAGCGCGGTTAGAAGAAAAAAAATGCAAAAATATATGTTCTTTTTAGATTCAGCTTATTTTTGACCATAAACTGCTTACGGTATGTAACAAACAGACCTATATACACTGGATAAAATCGGCGACCAGATTATATTACCACGTGTCAGCAACCCATGGAGCAAGAAGGTCTCTGGCCTGCAGATCGAAGACGGTGTGGGGCAGACGAGATCTCGGGCCGGAAAGCCCACACGCTGAAAAAGGAAGTCGCATTTCCGGTTTAACAAACGGCGATCCGAGTCAGCACGTACACAGCGCAGCCGGCAACGCCCCCCGAGCGGACTGGACCCAGCGAAGCAACGGTTCAAGTCGACTCCACCCGCCCCGCCCAGCTGGTGAGCCTTAGCCCTTAAGCTTGCCCCTTATAAGAAGCTAGCCGCGCGCGCAGCCGGCGTCACTCTCATATCACTCCCGAGACCCGACGTACGTGATCACGGTTCACACCACCTCGGCAACAAACGGTTCACCGACGCGATCATTGATCACGGACACATCATCGTACGAGCTAGGAGGAGTTGTGTGCATGGCGACGGCGGAAACGGCGGAGATCTACCGGCTGCCGGAGGAGTGCGTGGCGTACGCCATCTCGCTGACGACGCCCGGCGACGCGTGCCACTCGTCCGTGGTGTCGCCGACCTTCAGGGCCGCCGCGGACTCCGACGCCGTCTGGGCGCGGTTCCTGCCGCCGGACCACGCCGACGTCCTGGCGCGCGCCGACGAGCCGGTCGCCGTCGCCGGCTGCGTTGGTGCGTCCAAGAAGGAGCTCTTCTTGCGCCTCTGCGACAGCCCTGTCCTCCTCGACGGCGCCACCATGGTACGTACCAGTACCACCACTACGATCTATCCAGATTCTGCGCCATGCATGCATTCGATCGATCGCATTGTTGCTAATTGCGTGCGTGTACGTGTGTGCAAGCAGAGCTTTGGGCTGGAGAGGCGGAGCGGCGCCAAGTGCTTCATGCTGTCGGCGAGGGCGCTCAGCATTGCGTGGGGAGACGATCCTTCGTGCTGGACGTGGACCGCTAGCCCACCAGGATCCAGGTGCATCTCATGCCCATGCACATCCCCAGGCCCCTTTTTCTTTCTTCCTTCTCGCAGTGTATGCTTACTTGCCTCGTAAGTAGCTTAGCATGGCACGACGCACGCTGCATGCCTGCTGCTCTCTCTACGTACAGTTCATCTCGATTCCACACCCACTGAAGGCCTTTGTTTCGATACATGTGTATTCACTCCGGTCTACATGTATTGAAGTGGAATAGAATTAATGGAATTTAATTTAATTTCACTTATATGCACTTCAACACACGTGGATTGAGATGAATACATGCGCATCTAAACATGGCCGAAATATGACTGTCGTAACTCGTAAACTTTACTCTAGTACATTTTTAAAATTTGACCAGTATCGATATCGCATCCTTCGGATGTGGATGCTGTATACGCATACGCCACGGTTTAGTTTAGATTGGTATACTTTTGGTTTTACACACACGTGTCACCATGCATGCATGCCTGCACACGCACACTATTCCAGAGGTCCTGACAAAGCACGTACGTACTCCTAGCTCGGCAAGCGACACGAACATAGCTGACATAGGAGTTACTTTTGGACGACTGCGCGCATGCATGGTTGCATCATGATCACAAAATAGAAGCCTAGCTAGCTAGTACGTACGTACGTTCTGCACACAAACTATCAAACTATGTGACCGACTGATCGTGTGTCCGTGTGACCAATCGATCAGGTTCCCGGAGGTGGCGGAGCTCGTGGACGTGTGCTGGCTGGAGATCACCGGGAAGCTCAGCCTGTCGCTGCTGACTCCGGGGACGACCTACGTGGCCTACCTCGTCTTCGCCATGGCCGACGACGCGTACGGCCTCGAGTGCCACGTCGGGATGCCGCCGCCCAAGGCCACGGTCACCGTCTCCTCTGGCGGCGGGACGACTACCAGCAGCAGCGGCAGCAAGACGGCGACGGCGACGCCGGCGCAGGAGCACCCAATCTGCCTGCACCACATGCAGGGGGAGGAGGAGGCCGCGGCGCACCGGCGGAAGCAGCAGTACGTGCGCCTCCGCAGGGGTTACGGGATCAGCGGCGGTGCCCGGAAGACGACGGTGCTGACGACGACGCGGGAGGCCGACCCTGACATCAGGTGCCCCCGGCGGAGGGGCGACGGGTGGGCCGAGGTCGAGATGGACGAGTTCAACGTGGCGGGCGACGAGGGCGACGCGGCGGTGGTGGAGGTGACGGTGCAGGAGGTGGATAGCCGCCGGTGGAAGAGGGGACTCGTCGTGCTGGGCATCGAGATCAGGCCCAAGCAGCACACGGCGGGGATGTTAGCGCTATAGCTGAAGTGGAATTCATCTTTTTTTTATCTCTACTAGGGAGAAATTAATTGACAAATGCCGATCAATTAGGTCCAGATAGGAACAGCTGCTAGCCGATGTGCCCAATCAGCATCAGGGTAGCTTTCGAACCTGTTTTCTTTTCTGGACTGCAGACAGCGTGCATGCAAGTGCAATTTTAAAATGACCGTCCATTTAGCTTCTCTGATTAATGCGCATGGTGTATTTGCGTCAGTTGCTTGTATGCTGGCTACGTAGCTCCTGCTGTCATGCTGCGTATACCTTTGCATTTGTTGGGCCCATAAGCCGGTGATAAACTTAATAATTAACTAGGTTCGTTGCTGTGCGTTGCTACGGAACAGATAAACTTTTGTACTAAATCCAAGAGTTTGGTTCATGCTTTGGCATCTCAAAGAACTGCACAGTTGTTTGACAGCCAACAGGGAAACATGAAGCATAAGTAGAAATAGCTCAGTGCAACATAGACAAATTCCTACTTCTTTGAAGATTAATGTACCTTGTCAACAAGGTTGATAATTCCATAATTTATTGCACAATAATTTTGAAGCTTTCTTAAAGAACCTATACAGAAGCAGGATTCACTCAAATTATGTAAGATTTCTTTATACATTGAATAAGTCATAAAGTGCAAGACATAGCCAGACAGATTCACAAATGACCAGGCCGTTAAACTAAATATAAAGATCACCTTGTAGAAGTTGAAGCAAAAAAATGATAGAAAAAGACATAGCTTACGTGAGCTAGAGCATATTGCACCAGATAATTGTTATTTGCAGCTCCTTCTGCCTAAATACAAAAGGAAAAGCAGTGCCATGTTGGCTTAGTTAAAAAAGAAAAATACATACCAAAAACCTAAATATGTTTAAAAAATCGGTTTCTTTCACTAATCCAACTTATTTGTTACAAGGATAAGAAAGAATCACCCGACAGCCAATAAATCGATATAATAATTGCTACAGTGCTGGCAATTGCTCCAGCAAGTCCTGAGAATTCAATTCCCTAGTTCTACTGTGGTCCTGAAAACAAAAAAGTTTAATTACGTGTTGAAGTGTCATCAGCAAGTAATATAGCTACAAATAATGGATAACACCGCAGAGCTTTGGTAAAGTGTTAATAAAATGAAATAAAAATACTTGATGAGCATGTCAGAGTCCAGACCTTTTCAGGTCCTTGAGCTTGCTTTGATAAACGCTCAGCTTCAATGTCACACTTCAAGGCCTGAAGCATTCTAGTTTTTTTCCTCCAAAAATAAACCGTATGTGCGAACCCATAAAGAATAATCCCAAGCTAGATATAATTCCAAAATATAAAGACAATAGATTAGAAGGAAATATGGAAGAATATTAACGATCCAAATAAAACATCAGGTTAAATTTAAATTGAAGAAATACAGACCAAATGGGCTGGAATCATCCTTGAAGTTTGACAACTACAAAATCCGCTCTCTCTAAGTAAATGTTAGAAACTCCTCACGGAATGCAGGATCACCTTCCCGAAGAAGCCTATGGATCACTACAACTGTCTTCAGAGCAACCTACGTAACACAAGAAGAACTCATTGTTCAAATTAGACCTATTCAAGCATTGGGTTGTGCCATCTCAACTGAACTCCATCATACAATTCAGGCAAGACCAAGAATTAACCATTAAAAAAGAGAGTTTAATCCAAGGACATAACACTACAGGGTGTCAAACGTGCTTCAGACAATCAACAGAAAAGAAGGAACCCCACAATTTAAATCATCAATTCTTAAGCAACCAAAAAAAGTGTAGAATTGTGTTAAATGTAGAATTTTCACTGTGCTTTTGTAAACAAGCTTATTATGCTATGCAAAGAAAATCGTCAGTTGCGTCTCTTTCTATTTTGTTTTGTTCCCACGTCCAAATTAACTGGTACATATACACTAAAGCCACCAAAAGCACAGATTATAAAGGTCTAACTTGTTTTGCGATTCCAGACTCAACATGATATACTATTATATAACTATACATATGAGCTCGAGCTCTCAAGTGTGCAATGACCAAGGTTCAGGTGCCCAAATCAATAGCACTTCATCCTCACTAACTGTGCATGAAACTTGGGCATTTGACGATTGAGCATTTGTCTGCATTCAATTACACAGTGTGATTATGTTCAAAAAAAAATTACACAGTGTGTTCACATTTTTTAACAAACGAAATTGCATTCGAGACTCATCGATCACCCAATACCATTACAAGATTGGCACCAATTTAGCAGCTAAAGCAACCATCAGAGCATCGAATACATAGAACGAATCAAAATAATCTGAACCGGAGTGCAGCAGTGCTTATACAATCTAGTTCCTGGTTTTGGCGAGTCGCCGGGCAAGCGCATGGATGCAGTAGGCGACATCCGCCCATGGCCTCGCGCTGGACGTCGCCGCCACAATCTCTGCAACACCGGCACCGACAAACCCATCAGACAGCAAACTCAAACCGAGCAATGCTGGAGAAACCACAGCACTCGACGATCTAGCTAGTTCCTGAAATCAAATTAAGCAAAAGAAAAAAAAAACAAAGTGAGAATATAGGAGGAATCCACGACGCACAGCGCAGGTGGCGCTCCTTGCGGGCTCTCCACGTGGTTGGTAGCCCTCACGATCGACGGCGCCGATGGTGGGTGGCACGCGACGTCGGGTGCCAGGTATCTGCGACGGTGGTGTGAGGACGCGGGCTGGTGGCGGCGGTGCGGCCTGACGGCACTGGTCGACGTGGTTGCCGCGGTGCAGGGACTTCGCGTACGGTGGCGACGGCACCGGTCGACGCGGTTGCGGCGGCGCAGGGACGTTACGTACGGTGGCGTCGGAGACGTGTGGCGACGTAGGGACGACGCGTGGTTTTCCGCGAGGCTGAGGGATCAGGAAGGAAGGAGCGCACGGCGCACCGGGTGCGTGATTTACGGTACTTGGGAGGGACCGGTGGTTCCTTCCGTCAAAACTAATTATCGCAGATATTAATTAGGGAGAATTAATTAATTGTAATTAAGGACAATTTAGTACTTTTCATATCTCTAACTGCATCGCGACTCCAGATATCGCTGCTCCATGCGCCGCTACCTCGCCGCCCGCCTCCCAGGTCGCCCTCACCGCCAATCGAGTCGTCGCCGCCCTCACTACTGCATCTCCCTAGGGTCGCCGCCTGGGGCGGAGGAAAGCCTAGGGCCACTATGGCCACGGCCCTAGGCGTTGGCCCATTTTATCTACACTGTAGCATACTGTTCCAAAGATGTCCAATTAATCTACCAAAATGAGCCCATGGAGTGGCCCTAGGCGTTGGGCCAGCCCAGCTCCGCCACTCGTCGCCGCCCGCCTAGCCCTAGGTGTTGGAGTATGAGAGTATGAGTATATTAGGCCCATGAGTCCCATGTATGACTAATATATATTGCTACCCTTCTAGGGTTAGCCTTGCAATGGATTCTCACAACTCTAGCATGGTATCAGACTAGGTTTTCTTCTCCCCAACCAGCCGCCAGGAGCCGCCGGCCGCTTCTTGCACCGCCATGGCAGCCGCCTCCCCTCCCTCCCCACCTACTTCCAGTGCCTTCCCTCCCTTCCCTACCCCCTCCTCCTGGCCCCAGTACATGGCAGCCCGGCCAACCGCCATGCCCGCCAGTTGCCTCCTTGCTTGGCATGGGCGCGGATGGCCTGGCCGCCATTGCTTCTTTATGCAGGCGCAGGGCTGGTGGTCTGGCATTGCCGGCCGGCGCTGGCACGGCACGGGTGTGGGGCTCCAGCCGCCCAGCTGGGTATGCGCAGTGCGCCCGCCGCCATGCATGGGCGCATGGCGCTTGGCAGTCTGGCCACCGCCGCCGCCGCCGCCCAGCAGGGCGGGCGCGAAGCGCAGCCCGCCAGCCATGCCCGCCCATTGCCACAAGGCGCTGGGAGAACCTGAGCCTTTCTTCTTCCCGCTCCTCCTCCTCTGCCCCCGCCCCTCTCCAGACGGCGAGGGGGCTAACTCCTCTCGCCGCGCCTCGTGGGCTGCTTGATTTCTGCTTCTGCGACAGCCAGAGCCGGTGCGGGCGGCCGCCCTTCGCTTTGAGCGCCTTGGCCTTGCGCAGCTAATGCCCCAGCCCGCCCGCCAGATCGCCGCTGGCGGAGCAGCTCCTCGTCCTCCCTACCTCCTACGACACCGCGGCCACCTCCTCAGGCTCGACGGGTCACCGCGCGTCTCACACCGCGGTCATCTGGCACGACCCGGCCGACCCGCACGTGGCTCAGCTCCACTACCAGGCCGGGGGTGTCCAGAACATCCGACTCCTCGTCCCGGTCGTCCTCGAGCCTGAGTCGCCCTCTTACGCCCGCTGGAGGGACCTGGTCCTCCTCACCCTCCGCCGCTACGCCCTCGACGACCACGTCCTAGTCGACGCCTCGGTCATGCCTAGAACCCATCGTGGTACATGCCTTGACAAATGTCGTCCTCTCCTGGATCCTCGGGACGATCTCCTTGGACCTCCACGACCTCGTCCGCAACTCTGCTGACGCTCGCCGGGCTTGGCTTGCGCTCGAGGGCCAGTTTCTGGGCAATGCAGAAGCCCGGGCCCTGCGTCTCGATGCGAGCTTCCGCACCTTCGTCCAGGGTGACCTCTCCGTTGGCGAGTTCTGCCGGCGCATGAAGAGCATGGCGGACTCCCTCGGCGACCTTGGCTGGCCCGTGGAGGATCGTGATTCGGTCCTCAACGTCCTCCGCGGGCTCGGGTGACTCGCTCGCCCACCTCCCGGACGTGGATCACCCGGCGAGGGCCCTTTCCCTCCTTCCTGCAGGTCCGTGACGACCTTGTCATGGAGGAGCTCACTCAGGGCGTCCAGCCAGGGTCCACCTCCGCGCTAGGGTCCTCGTCTTCCTCGACTGCCCTGGCCGCTACTCCTCCGACGCTGCGTCGCTCGCTTCCACCGCCGTCGCTTCTTGGTTCTCCTCCCCGGCCGCGGGGGGGGGGGGCCGTGGCGGCCGCCGCCGCCACGGAGG